CAGCTGAAACTTTGCCACCTCGACATGTAATTTGTAGCCTCTAATTTCATCTTCATCCAAAAGTTTCAATGCAAGTTCCACAGATTCTCTCTTCATAAAGATAAAATAAAATACATCCACTAATTTACACACTGAAATGAAACTTAAGGAGTTGTTGTTTTTAAATAAAGAATGACTACTACTTACTTAGGGATAAGAAATTTTAGAATGAATATTAAGAAACGTATCTGAAACAGCTATTCTTAACCAGCTTTGTGAACTCAGGCAAGGTACTCAAGTTCACTAAGCCCCAATTTCTTTATCTGGAACTGAAAAACAATGGAATAGTAGTATCTTAATTAATCGTGCCCCTTACAAAACTAAATGAAATAATGCACGGGAAGAAGACAGACCAACACACAGTTGGTACTCATTAGGAGGTAGTTTTGGCCCATGAAGCCCCAATTCCTTGTCTCCTGAGTAAGGGAAGCAGACTTGTATGCTGAGGTGCTTACTAGTTTTAAAATTCAAGGCCTAGGTGAGATAGCTCAGGGGTCTAAACGCCTGCCTGGCAAGCACAAGGACCCAGGTTTAATCTCCGGAACCACATGCCATGCTGGCACCACGCTGTGCCAGCTGCTGAAACCAAGCATGGTGGCGCATACCTGTAATCCCAGCACTGGGGAGGCTGAGACTAGAAGATCACTATGAGTCTCAGATGCATAGTGAGATCTGGTACTGAATAAATAAATAAAATATTTTTTAATTTAAAAAATAAAATTCTATAATGCTTTTACTTAAAAGATTAGATGACCCAAGGATTGGGAAGAGCACAATCAGACTTTTCTAGTCTAACAAATAAAATGTAAGACTGTAATACACTAATAAGTGCAAGATAATTACCGATGGCTTATATATTACATATATTTACAGATTCTGAGTCTTACACAAAAGAGAAAGTTATCAGCCCCACATAAACAGAATCAAAAGATCTGAGAGTTTGAGGAAAACACAGAAGGACAACTGAACTTGGCTGTTCAATCCAATATGAATCCTGGAACAATTAAGTGTATTTTTTTTTCTGCAACTCAATTTACTAGCTTGATAATCTTATACTTTTTGCTTTTGGTACCACGGATGGAACTCAGGACCTTGCACTTGCCAGGTAGGCACTTATGCCCACTGAGCTATTTCCCCAGCCTGATAATCTTGTATCTTTATGGGTCTTATATTGTTCATATGCAGTTTCTCAACACTCTAATTTTCTCTTTAAAGACTTTTAAAAATCTAATCATATACCCTGTTAACAGTTCACAGATTTTTAGTAATCACTGTACATCGGATATTATAAAAGTACGTTCCTCAAATGGCCATACTCATATTCTACAACCATCGTATTTATGAACCAGGTTAAAAATCCATCTCTGCAAAAGCTGTCAGCTCAATCTTTCCATTTCCTAATCCCAATGCAATGGGCACTCATAACACACCTGTGGTGTTTCTACTGTTATTTCACCATATTTTACTTTCAATTTTATTTCCAGGTTCAGTGACAAATGTACACATCAGCACCATGCCCCTTTCTTTCAAACCAGACAATAACATATAAAGCATGCTCCTAAGCTAGAAGGTGCTCCAGAAATGGTAAATGCCTTTGGCACTGAGTATCAGGACTATACAAAGTTCTGCAAATCTAGGTTTATTAATTTGTGGTATTTCCCTCTCTCCTCTCCCATTAAAAAAGCATTTTAAAACACTAAGCATAAGCTATTGCTTCATTCACGGCTTAAGGGTCAGAAAAGTCCTCTTATTTACACTGACAGTTAATAAATAGTTTAGACTTTGTGGACAAGGAGGCCCATTCTGCAACCACACAACTCTGGGGAGGAAGCACAAAAGCAGCTGCAGACAAATGCCTAAATGCACAAGTATGGCTGTGCTCCAACCAAATTTATTTACAAAAACATGTAACAGGCCTGAGTTTGCTAAACCCTCATCTAATGTATTCCAGTGAGCAAACAAAATGCTGCTGACTTGTCTAGATTTTTAAAATGTTTTCTCAACTGACTACATGCATTGATAGAAATCTCTGAAGTGGGAATGTTTTATGATAAAAGCAGCACGTATACACAGTGGACGATACACACAGGTACTGAAATTTCATTTTTCTTTGTATCCTGTTTTGAATAATTCTCAGCACAGATAACTATCTATGGAAGGTTACAGCCCTAAACTCTGAGTTAAAAATGGATACAAGAAACTATCTGACCATATGACTAACCTTCAAATAACAACAAAGTCCATCTCCTTTAAGATTTCCTTGATTATCTTTGTAAAGTTTGACTTTAAATTCTTCTGTCTGAGGATCTCTCATAATAATACCAAACTTGGACATAAGCTGTATAAATTCATCCACTGTAATGTCTGGAGGCAAACCTGCAATATCGAAAAACATTGTTTAAATAGTTATAAAGTGGAGAGGCTCTTAATACATTACAATTAAAAACTGACAATTTAGGGGAGTGTGAATCTGATTTTCTAAATAAATGCAAAAAGCTCACATGTATAAAACTGAGGCTCATTCCTATTTTTATACATTCAAAATTGCATTAAGATCATACTTTGCTTGGGCCTCAAAGGCCCTTTAGGGCAAGAAGTTACCTAAAGCAGGCAAAAAGGACAAGATCTAAAACTATACACCCTTCATTTATATTAGTCGTATAATAGGAAAATTTCTCAGGGGAAAAAAATACAAATTCCTTAGTAACATAAACAACTGAGCAACAACCAAAAAAAATTACACAACTTAAAAATGGACCTTACAGAAATGGAAAATTTAAAAATCATTTGTGAAATCTCCATACCTGAAGCTGGGAATATAGCACAGCAGCACAAGTGCCTGCCTGCTGCCTGGCAAGTGCAAGATCCTGGCTTCCATTCCCAATACCAAAAAGAAATAAAGCTTTCAACATGGAATAAAAGGTCTACATACCAGACACATATACATTTGTATTTCTGTCTTCTTCAACATGAAACCATCCTGAAAATGAAATAAATAAATAAATACTTGCAAGAAAACAGTCACCTTACTAAACCTTCACAATGAATGTGGCATTTTTTTGAAATTTTTAGGAACTTTCTCCTGCCCTCAGAGACAAAATAAATCACTCCCCAGCTTTCTTTTTTTACCTTAATGAGAATAGAAAAATAAAAGATAAGAGATTAGAGATGATACACAATTTTTAAAAAATGATAGGTATTTGAGTGGTTGCTATACTGCACATGGCTGTCTTCAATGTAGTTGCACAGATTATAGATATAAGCATATAAAACTCGTCAAAGTAAAAATTTTAAGCATAAATTGCTACCTTCAAAAATGATAAAAATTATTAGTACAAGCATCTTAGCTATTCTGCCACTACCCAGCTTTCAATGTATTTCAATCTTGTGAGAGTTCTTGGACCCTATCTGAAAACAAAGCTGGCCAGTTTATTTCGATTTTAATTTAATAACACTACCTTAAAGAAAAAAATTCATTTCATTATCCCTTCCAAGCTACTAATTTCACTAAAAATTTATACACATATTGTTTACATTCATATTTTGTAAGCTATAACCACTTGCCTGAGTCACCCTTTCTCTTCTCGCCCCTCTTTTTGGGATCAGTGGGTTCTGGGGTTTTTCCTTGTGGAGGCTCCTCTGCAGCTTTCATATTGGTGTCAGGAACATGTGTAGTAGAACTAGATGCACCGTCACTAGTGAAGCCGTAATTCGCCTGATATGTAGCAATGAAATCTTCAGTGATCTAAACAAGACAATCAGCACAAACACATAGAAAATCAAAGTTATTTCTGGCCATAAGAAGTTTAGATTGTACTATGTTATGGTCTATTCAGCAATACAACATAACATGCAGCTTTCTCTATAGACAACAGCTATAATAATTAAAGTAGAAATCCAAGAAATTATTCATATAGAAAACCATATATAAAGTGATAAAAATAAGCCTCAGTCAGAGTATCAAAGCAAAAGGCTGAGACAACATTAAATCATTTTAAGTGATATTGGCACTTTTAGTTATTTCCTTTTAAATTACTACTCCTTTATAGTACACAATATTGAAACTAGAAATACATAAAACAAAGGAATTACGAGAGAACAGTAAAACAGAAGAAAAACCAAAAGGCAACTAACTACAGAACCCACCTTTTTAGTGTACAGATGCACAAATACATACATACATCATGTAAACTTGTGTATGCAGACCACACATCACGGAACCTTGATTTTGTGTATAAAAATGGGGTTACAACTATGAAACAAAACATCTATCTAACCATCACAAACTAAATTACATTATCATTAGCATCAAACTATTTAAGGACAAGAGCAATTCATATATGACTCTGGTTTTTGAGAAAAAGGCATTGTGGCACAGTAATAAAAATGTAGTTTTCCCATCATGCCAATTAAACAGTAGTCACACATAGAAACAGGGAAAATCTGAAACTCAGTTTAAAGAGGTATGGACATCAATAACACAAACCATCCCTAAAACCACTCTTATAAAACTGTTGTTAAAGTACTCAGATGACAAAAGAAACCGAATCTGCACTCAAAGCTTGGGATATACAGGAACGCAAAATAGCAAAGAAAAGATGAAGAATTTTTAAACAGTCCAATCACACTCTGGGGACAGGTGTTGCATTAAAGGCCTGCAAGCCAGTGCGCCATTAGCTTATCCTTGTAAGTTCATGTTCTCATTAAGACTTACATTAATAGGGACCTTTTACTGCAAAGTTTATATGGCCATGCTTAACAGTAGTTACCTTACATCCATACTAAAATCAAACACTGAACAACTTCAAGTACCCCAAACAAATGTACACGGGTCTTTTCTGTTCATCTTCTGTGCATCTCTAGGCATTCCTGTTTATACGGTTCAAACATACATGCCCAGGGCCCTTTGCTAGAGAAGTAAAGCAAGATGCAAAGCAAGTTGAATCACCAAAGAGATACAAAGAGCTACATATTTAACCATCAAGCTGTATTTTGCGCATAACGCACAAGCTAAATAGCTGAACTCCTGGGATAAGGCTAGCCACGCAGAGGAAGTTACTAAATCTTGGTGTTTTTCCTCTGTGCAATAAAAAGCAGTCACCAATATAATAACCAACTGTGACCTTCACAAACAAAATCAATAAGGCATGAAAAAAAGGCCACTTGAAGACACCACCCTGAAGATTTATGTTCCTTTACACATCGACTGTGCACAAACATAACAGACAGCCACCAACCACGGAGGTTTGGGATCACGGAGCGCAGCAAAGCCATCGTGAAAGGGGTGCCCTCAAGGTTGAGCGGCCCCGCGGCGGCGCCTGTGCCACTCTTACCTTGGGGAACCAAGCCTTCTTGTCCAGGTCCCATTCATACGGCGTGTCAGCCGACTGCTGCTCGAAAGACTCAGTTTCTCCACTGGGGTCTTTTTGGGTATTATCCTCTTTGGCATCTCCGTACAATTCCTGCATTCGCAACTGCTCATCAAACTCGTCGTTCCGATTCAAGTTGGCGCCGCTCATGTTTCCTACCT